AAACTAATGATGTAATGTATGGTGGTTAACATAACAATAAAAAATTATTAAAAAAAAAAAAAAAAGAGGAAGGTGCATGTAATACCCCCGGTTTTGCACAAGATGAGTCTATTCAAGAGCTGATTTAAGATCTAATGTGATCTAACGTCAGATCTTTCCAGTCCGAGAAAAGATCTGGTAACTGGCAGCTACAGATAAAGCTTCCAATGTTAAAAAAGAGTAATTTAAACATTATTACCCGATCTTTTTTTTTTTTTTTTAAAGATTTTATTTATTTATTTGATGGAGAGAGAGCGAGAGAGGGAACACAAGCAGGGGGAGTGGGAGAGGGAGAAGTAGGCTCTCCGCCGAGCAGGGAGCCCAATGTGGGGCTCGATCCCAGGACCCTGGGATCATGACCTGAGCCAAAGGCAGATGCCCAACGACTGAGCCACCCAGGCACCCCTCACCCATCTTTCTTCAAAAGGCCATGCATCTTCTGACACATCTCAGGTTATAACGGCAGAATACTTCCGTTGCATTCTTAGTGCTTACAAGTTGGACAGTTTCTACTAAGATTTAATTTCCTTCTCAAAGAAGTCAGTGATGCATCTTGATCCTTCCCCTTTTTTTCAAGATTTTATTTCTTTGAGAGAGAGAGAGAGCGCGCGTGCACGCACAAGTACGCATGCAAGCACAGGGAGGGAGGCAGAGGCAGAGAATCCCAAGCAGACTCTGCGCTGAGCACAGAGCCCAGCGCAGGGCTGGATCTCAGAATGCTGAGATCATGACCTGAGCCAAAATAAGAGTCAGATGCTCAACTGATTGAGCCACCCGGGTGCCCCTTGATCCTTTCTTTACTTACCAAAGCTCTTCTGGCAAATGGTAAATTTTTCTGTCTTATTTCAAATTGTGCGTATAGTAACCACATCTTGGCAAATGTGAACTAGGAAACAAAAGCACAAAAAACATCTAAAAGAGTCATTTCAATCACACTGAAGTTATGCCATTTGCTACGACGTGGATGGAATTGGAGGGTGTTATGCTGAGTGAAGTAAGTCAATCAGAGAAAGACATGTATCATATGACCTCACTGATATGAGGAATTCTTAATCTCAGGAAACAAACTAAGGGTTGCTAGAGTGGTGGGGGGTGGGGGGGATGGGGTGGCTGGGTGATAGACATTGGGTAGGGTTATGTGCTATGGTGAGCGCTGTGAATTGTGCAAGACTGTTGAATCACAGATCTGTACTTGTGAAACAAATAATGCAACATATGTTAAAAAAAAAGAAAAAAGGAGATAGCAGGAGGAGAAGAATGAAGGGGAGTAAGTCGGAGCGGGAGATGAACCATGAGAGACGATGGACTCTGAAAAACAAACGGAGGGTTCTAGAGGGGAGGAGAGTGGTGGGATGGGTTAGCCTGGTGATGGGTATTAAAGAGGGCACATTCTGCGTGGAGCACTGGGTGTTATGCACAAACAATGAATCATGGAACACTACATGAAAAACTAATGATGTAATGTATGGTGATTAACATAACAATAAAAAATAAAAAAAAACAATTACACTGAAGTTAAAAATTTAATAAGAGGCCACATGCAATTAGATTTCCGTAAATATTCAGAGCTACGACAGATGTATTTTCTTGTTTTTAAGCAAATATGATGTTGTTTATTTCACAAAAGTTACAGTAATTCAAATACTTTATCATACTGTATGGCCCTGCCACCCCTACTGAGAACTGGCTTTGTTTTCTGGGTATGCTTGTGAGCAGGCAGAACATGCCATCTCTATTCTAGAAGGTAGTTCAGTCAATATCTCTACTTGTTTCTCAGGCTGGGAAATAGGGCAGAGATAATGTCTCAACCATTTCCAGAACTTGCATGCCAGTGTTCACCCATGCACACTTATGTCCGCTCTGATGCCAACAAACACCTGTTCATTGTTTCCTGCACATGCTGTGTGCTCTCGGGATGTGTGTCTTCCTCCTTCCACTCAGTCATTCTAGTTACCCACCCTCTTCTGAATTTCTACATTATCTGTATTATTCATTTGTCAATGCAGGCTGTCCTCTCCACCAGACTGTAAACTGTTTTCAGAGACAAAGAGCATACTTTTGAAACCTAAGTTTTCAGGATGCCCCACAGAGCAAACTATTCAAACAGTAAGTATTATTTCACAAGTAATAGAAGGAGGATTTTGACACTTTGGAACAGAACATTTAGAGCAAACATACCTTTTTATGAGGAATTAATTCCAAAGAAGCTTGATACACCTGTCTTGTCCTCTCGGGATCCTGTATTAGGATAAGAAATTTTCACCGACTACTGAAGTCTGTTACTAATGCTAGTTTTGCTAGCACTTGTAAAAACGTACACCCCCACCCACAGTGTTTTCACAGGGTGCTATTCTCAAACCCTGATTTCATCATTTATGATCAAATGTGAACTCCCTGTGGCCCTCAAACTTTGGTTAAAGAATCACCAACGAGATAGCCATCAATCTCTGAGAGCTTGTCTGTGGAAAGGCTTTTTGCCTGATAGCAGAAAGAGATGTTTCATAGTCTCAGATCAACAGCACAAAGCTAGTCTCTCCCAATTAATTTATACACACCTGATTTCTCAAAATCCCACTTGATCTTTTACTAGAAGCAAAGATGTGTCATCTAGCTGTGATCCCTATTTAGGAGGCAGCCCAGAAAACGATACAAAATAAGCTAAAGCCTGCTTCATTGTTCCCTTCCAAGTTCCAAGTGATAATGTGGTGCCTCAGGTTCGAAACACAAAACGCAACAAAACCAAAACACCTCACCTGGGCCCACCACAGGTATACAGAGTTTAAAAGGCTGCAGAGAGACTATGTAACTGTATGGCTGAGAATCTAGAACTGAGATTTCTGTTTCTGGGATTGTACATGTCAGTATCCACTGCTACCCACAATGGCCGAGGTGTATGCACAGGGCTGAAGCAGCCAGGGAGGGGGCAGCCATCAACAGCTGAGGCGTAATTCTGTTTTTTACCTTGGCCTCCAATTCTTCATAGAGTGCGTAGTTGACCCACAGATAGATGTAGCGCTTCCAGTGCCGCTTCTCTTGAATGGGTGGCACATTGGCAATGGCTCTTTCATAGACTTCTCGAACGGTTTCTGCTTCTGCATCACTTTCCACCAAGCGCAAGTAATCAAACCATGCATCGTAATTGTGTGGATTAGCCTAGACAGACCGCAAGTTTAATGAATAAAAACCAAACCAAGAGCTATACTTGCTGGACTCTGTGAGGTTAAAAAAAGACACTAGATTGACTTCCTGTATTTTAGCAACTGTTTAGCACCTATCTCATTTAAAAATACCATTCCTGGGGCACCTGGATGGCTCAGTCGGTTAAGTGTCTGCCTTCAGCTCAGGTCATGATCTCAGGGTCCTGGGATGAGTCCTGCTTCTCCCTCTGCCCCCACTCATGTTCGCACTCTCTCTCAAATAAATAAAATCTTAAAAAAATACTATTCCTGAGATTTCATAAATAGAAAAGAAAAAGGAACACAGGGGACAGATTATTTGCCAGGTGTCCCACAGCAAGGCTGCTTTCATATACAACCACCACCCCCAAGATAATTACTCAATAATTAGATGCCTACTTTTATAAATGTATTTGTTTATATACCTGACTGCATATCATCATGTCTAGATTTAAAATTACAGTAGATGATGGGCATTGAGGGCACATGATATGACATCGCAACTAATGCATCATTGAACATTACATCAAAAACTAATGATGTATTACATGTTGCCTAACTGAATTTAAACTAAAAAAAATTTAAAAAATAATAATAAAAATAAAATAAAATTACAGTGCAATTAGAATCATGGTCACAAATGTGAAACCTGCCTTCTCAATTAATAGTCATTTATCTTGAATATATCTTGCTGACCTCATTTAACACCAGACTCGGTCCTTTAGTGATATCCTAATTCATCTGACTAAGCAGAAGTTTTTAGATGCACAGGAGACCAGTAAAGGAAAATGTTACTATCTTTGAACTCAAATCAAAACAGTACATTACAAATTAAGAGATGAGAATGAAAACATATCTACAATATATGTTTTGTTCAAGCAGTTAAGCTAAACGGTAGTGCAGAAAAACTGGCTCAATCTCTGCCTCTTCCATCTTCAGAAAGGAGTTCACATGGATTCCCGGTTTTTGCTCAAGTTCTACGGCGCACCAGCAGCAACCAACATGGTGACTTTTTTTTTTTTTAAAGATTTTATTTATTTATTTGAGAGAGAGAGAGCACGAGAGGGAAGAGGGTCAGAGGGAGAAGCAGACTCCCCGCTGAGCAGGGAGCCCGATGTGGGACTCGATCCGGGGACTCCAGGATCATGACCTGAGCCGAAGGCAGTCGCTTAACCAACTGAGCCACCCAGGCGCCCCAACATGGTGACTTTAAACATGTGGGTGGCAGAGCAAACCCAAGTGCTACTTGCTGCCCTCTCCTATGAGCCCTGCAGACTGCTGCTGCAACGGCTGCCAATCACTGCAGACGTGTCAGCAAGAGCGTGATCCCTGGGAGCCCCCCCGTCTGCTATTCTTCGCTTCACCTGAGCTGCTACTGGTCGGCACATCTCTGTCACCTGCGGGGTTCAGCGTCCGCAACAGCACTCACCTTCACCTCTTCCTCATATTGGAATCTTCGTTTGCTCACAATGATGTCTTCAATACCCCGTCGATCACCGAACTTCTTCTCAAAGATGGTATAGTTTTTAAAGAGTTCTTGGGCCTCCTGCTTTGAAATTCTATCCAGGGCATACTTGTAGATCACTCGTACCCTTTCAAACTAAAAGCAGACAGAAGGATTACTTCTACAACACAATACTCTCACTTGAGCCACAACTTGGAAGGTAATTATGACATCACATACTACTCCAAAGTAAGAGTTTTCTTCTCCCCCTTGTTGAGGTCTTTATTTGTCAGGGTGTACTGACACTCTCCTTTGAGCTCCATTACTTAATACTGTCTACCTGACTCTGCCAGTTGGGTGTCATCTGTGCATCTCAGACTAAACAGGTCCAGAACTGACCTCCTGATCCTCACCATCAAACCTGGGTCTGTCTTCCCGGTCTTGGTAAGCAACACCTATCGTCATGTCCTTGCTCAAGCCCCGAACCCCAGGGGTTCTCCTTGACTCCTCTCCTGTCCTCATCCCCCACCTTCACTACTTCAAAGAGCCCTGCCACTTTTGTTTTCCAAGTTTATTACCCATAAAACCCTTTAATGAGGAGACCAAATGACGAACTCTCAGGTTACACACGATATTCTATATATATAGCTATAAAGGCTTAATTTTCAAGCAAAGCACAACACAATTAGGACACTTTAGTACAATCTATAATCACTCAGTTCCCAATCTGCAGCTAAGCCACAAATGTATGCTGTTTTCTTTGAGAGATTTTGGAAACGTTTTTTCCAAGGATAAGTGAATAGAAAATGGAATGAACTCAACGTGCACAAGTAATCTTTCCTAAGCTGTGATGCAATGTAAATGAGTTCTTCAAGTGTACTTACTTCTTTTTGATTTTCTTCAAATTTGGCAAAGGCAACATAAAGGTGTTCATCCATATGCTCATCTCCAAAGAATTCAACAGCTCTCTCGTACACTTTCCGTGCATGGGCAAAATAACCATGTTTTTCTTCAAAGCGAGCATACTTGATCCAGTTCTTAACATCAGGGTGCACAAGGACAAGTTCACAGGAATTAAGGAAATATCCCGCAAGACAAGGCTTAAAAACAAACAAAAAACAAACCCAACCCCCCAACAACACAAACTATGACTATAGGGTTGATAAAACACGTGCAAAGGCGTTGAAGAACCACTAAACTGTGACCTCTAAAGGGGGCCTCGTCTTGTTCATCTGTCTTCCTCCAGGGCTTACTCAGTACTTCTGTAGTGGGTACAAATGGGAGTTTGGAGAAATGAAGAAGCTGAAGCCTGTTATTAACCATGCTATCCTGGACAAGTCATTTAACTTGTCTAGGACTCAGTTTTGTCATCTGTAAATACAGAAAAAGAACCCTAACCCAACCACAGTGGCTTGAAAGGAGGAAATGTGTGTAAAGCTCTTAGCAGTTTGGGGCCAAAGGAATGTGCTCAATAAATGGCACCTACATATTATATGCTCAATAACATTAGTATTGGAATTAACGATTAAGAAAAAATGTTACAAAAACAAAACTGCTAACTAGAGGCAGAAGAAAAAGGTTTTTTTAGGGTTTTTCTTTTTATTGAAATATAGTTGATACTGAAAAAAGTTCTGAATTACCGTTTTATTTCTTAACAGATGAAATCTATTTTTCATCTACCTCACTTGAGGAACTCATTAATCGCAAAGTAGTAATACGTTAAAAAATGGAAATGAAATTAAGGGCATAGGCTCTGAAGCTGCAGCTGGGTTCAAGGCCCATCTCCATCACTCCCGGAAAGACCCCGGCCACGCTGCCTCTCAGCTGTGCCTGCATCTCACACCCCACAGGCGGGAGTAGTTCCCACACTGCAGGGCTGTCCGAGGATTAAGTGTTGATATTTGTAAAGTGCTTACAATAATGCCTGATGTGTAATAAGCACTATAAAAGCTTCTCTTAAACTAATCATATTAAAACAGGGCAGAGGTCATAGAGACCTTAAAATTGCATAATAAAGTTGATGCTTGGGCGCCTGGGTGGCTCAGTTGGTTAAGTGACTGCCTTCGACTCAGGTCATAATCCCGGAGTCCCATGATCGAGTCCCACATCGGGCTCCCTGCTCAGTGGGGAGTCTGCTTCTCCCTCTGACCCTCTCTCCTCTCATGCTCTCTCTCACTCTCTCAAAAAAATAAAATCTTTAAAAAAATAAATAAATAAAGTTGATGGTTGTTTTTCTGGGTAGTTATGTTCTATGAAGTCACTTAATTAGCAAATACCAAATCATCCTTCCTAAGGGAAGTGTACACACACACACACACACACACACGCACACGCACACACACACTGCTCATACAGATTATAATCTTAAATCCTAAAAACAACTCCTCTTGGTAGATTCAATTTTGTTTTATAAAGGAATAAACAAGGTTCAGAAGTGTGAAGTGACCTGAGGCCACCCCCCCAACACGTGCCAGAGAAGGGACTCACACCCATCCAACTGGCCCTGGAGCCAGAGCTTGTTGGGCTATACTATGCTGTCCTCCTGTCTCCATCCTTTGGATGGACTCCAGTAGTGGTGCTAATGACCAACACCCTAGAAAAACCTAGGGAAAAAACCCCGGACAAACAGGACTGGCTACAGCAACCAAAGCCCTGGTATGTCACTTTCCACAAGGAATGCCAAAACATAAACAAACCCAAAGTTTTGCCAAAAAAAGCTCAATTACCCAGACCACAAACTTCTATTTTAACCACACTATGTCTCTAGAAAATAGTTATGCAGCTCATGAAGCAGATGAAACTTGTATCTTTGACTTCCGGGCCTATGTTGATGGGGATCCATATGTGCAGACCATGACTCTACTGCCCCGGGCGGAGTAGCACCCAGGACAGTAACAGCACCACTCAGACTCACTCAAAGGATATAGTGTTCAGGGGGGAGCACGGAAGATGGCGGAGGAATAGGGGACCATATTTCAACTGGTCCCCTGAATTTAGCTGGGTATCTACCGAACCATTCTGAACACCAATGAAATCAGCCTGAAATGTAAGAATATATATCTGGATCTCTACACGCAGAAAATCTCTGGCGGTCTCGAGGTATGAAGGGCAGAGCCGTGATTCTGCAGGCAGATATCGAAAGATAAACAGAAGGGGAAAGGAGCTGCCATAAGCTGGCGCTGAGAAGGTGATATAACACCAGAGCGCAAAAGCGTCCCGCACTGGGGACCGGACACAGACTCACAGACTCGTAGCAGTGGGAAAGGACTTTAGTCCAGCCCCCAGACAGGATGTAGGAGCTGCGGTGCGCAGGGCAGCTCATGGTTTTAGTAGCACAAAGGGCAGAGACATGCCCGGCCTTGGGATCAACCTCTGGGAGAGCTGCTGTGGGGCACACACCCAGGGAAGCTGAGGTTTTTAGCAGCGCAGATAGAAACATAGACTGTGTCCTGGAGAGCTCAGTGAAGAGCAGACTACGATTCCTCTGCTCTGGGACAGAGGTCTGGGTGCAGTCATTTCTGCTCTGGCTCTCGGAAGATATGCAAGAGACAGAAAGCTGCCAGAGAACAAAAGCTCGAAACACTGGTTTTCACTGGGCCCACCGCCCCTCCCCCCACCAACAGGGGGCCAAGCAGGGTTGCCTGAGTAACAGTGCGGCAGCACCCTCCCCCAGAAGACAGGCTGGAAGAACAAGAGGACAACAACCCTAGGGGTCCCTATAAAATAGGTACATCTTGCTTGGGTCGCGGTTAATACTTTGGACTCTGTACATTCCCTCAAACATCCCTCAACAGAATGACTAAGAGGAAGAACCCCCAACAAAGAAAAGAATCAGAGACTGTGGCCTCTGCCATAGATCTAATGGATATGATATAAGCGGGATAGACTTCAGAAATAGACTTCAGAGTAACAATTATGAAGTTGATACCTAGGCTTGAGAAAAATATTAGCGACAATATAGAATCTCTAAAGGCAGAAATGAGATCTAATCAGGCCAAACTTAAAAATGCTATGAATGAGATGCAGTCTAAACTGGATACTCTGACTGCCAGGGTAAACGAGGCAGAAGAACGAATTAGTGAGCTAGAAGATAAGATGATAGAAAAGAAGGAAACCGAGGAGGCCTGGGAAAAACAGCATAAAGCCCAAGAGATCAGACTGAGAGAGATTAATGACACCATGAAATGTTCCAATGTTAAAATTATTGGGACCCCTGAGGGGGTGGAGAGAGAGAGAGGTCTAGAAGATATATTTGAGGAAATCGTAGCTGAGAACTTCCTTAATCTGGGGAAAGAAACAAGCATTCATGTCCAAGAAGCAGAAAGGACCCCTCCCAAGATCAAGGTGAACAGATCAATGCTCCGACATATAATAGCACAATTTGCAAATCTTAGAACAAAGGAAGCAATCCTGAAAGCAGCTAGACGGAAGAGACTTCTTATTTATGAGGGAGGAACATCAGAATAACGTCAGACCAGTCCAGAGGGACCTGGCAAGCCAGAAAGGGCTGGCAAACATATTCAGGGTACTAAATGAGAAGAAGATGCAGCCAAGGATACTTTATCCAGCAAGGCTGTAATTCAGAATGGATGGAGATATAAAGAGCTTCCAGGACAGGCAGAAACTGAAAGAATATGTGACTACCAAACCGGCCCTGCAAGAAATATTAAGGGGGGGGTTCTATAAAAGAAGAAAGACCCCAAGAGTAATACAGACAGAAATTTACAGAGACAATCTATAGAAACAGGGACTTTCAGGCAACATAATGGCACTAAAATCATATCTTTCAATAGTCACTCTCAACGTGTACGGCCTAAATGCTCCCATGAAACAGCACGGGGTCGCAGATAGGATAAAAAGACAGGACCCATCCACATGCTGTCTACAAGAGACTCATTTTGAACCTAAAGATATATCCAGACTGAAAGTGAGGGGATGGAGAACCATTTTTTCATGCCAATGGACCTCAAAAGAAAGCTGGGGTGGCAATTCTCTTATCAGACAAATTAGATTTCAAGCTAAAGACTGTAGTTAAGAGATACAGAGGGACACTATATCATTCTTAAAGGGTCTATCCAACAAGAAGATCTAACAATTATAAATATCTATGCCCCCAACATGGGAACAGCCAACTACATAAGCCAACTGTTAACCAAAATAAGAATCATATTGATAATAATACTTTAATAGCAGGAGACCTCAACACTCCACTCTCAACAACAGACAGATCATCTAAGCAGAAGATCAACAAAGAAACAAGATCTTTGAATGACACATTGGGCCAGATGGGCTTCATAGATATACACAGAACATTCCACCCTAAAACAACAGAATACTCATTCTTCTCAAATGCACACGGAACTTTCTCCAGAATAGACCACACACTGGGTCACAAATCAGGTCTCAACTGATACCAAAAGACTGAGATTATTCCCTGCATACTTTCAGACCACAATGCTTTGAAACTGGACCTCAATCATAAGAAAAAATTTGGAAGGAATTCAAACACTTGGAAGCTTTCAAGACCATCCTGCTAAAGAATGTTTGGGTCAACCAGGAAATTAAGAGGAACTTAAACAATTCATGGAAACCAATGAGAACGAAAACACATCAGTCCAAAAACTAGCCATCCAAGCCTCACTCAAAAAAGTAGAAAAATCCCAAATGCACAAGCTAACCTTACACCTAAACGAACTGGAGAAAGAACAGCAAATAAAACCTAAACCAAGCAGAAGAGAAATAATAAAGATTAGAGCAGAGATCAATGAAGTAGAAACCAGAAATACAGATAATAGCAGATCAATGAAACTAGAAGCTGGTTCTTTGAAAGAATTAATAAGATCGATAAACCTCTGAACAGACTTAATCCAAAAGAAAAGAGAAAGGACCCAAATTAATAAAATTATGAATGAAAGGGGAGAGATCATTACTAACACCAAGGAAATAGAAACAATTATTAGAAATTACCATAACTATATGCCAATAAATTAAGTAACCTGGAAGAAATGGATGCCTTCCTGGAAACCTATAAACTACAAAGACTGAAACGGGAAGAAATTGACAATCTGAATACACTGATAACCAGTATTGAACCAGTAATCAAAAACCTCCCGAAAAACAAGAGTCCAGGGCCAGATGGATTCCCAGGGGAATTCTACCAAACATTTAAAGAAGAAATAATACCTATTCTCCTGAAGCTGTTTAAAAGAATAGAAACAGGAGGAAAACTTCTAAACTTCTATGAGGCCAGCATTGATGCTAAAACCAGGCAAAGACCCCGTCAAAAAGGAGAATTACAGACCAATATCCCTGATGAATATGGATGCCAAAATTCTCAACAAGATCCTAGCCAACAGGATCCAACAGTACATTAAAAGGATTATCCATCACAATCAGGTGGGATTTATTCCTGGGATGCAAGTGTTGTTCAACATTCGCAAATCAACCAATGTGATAATAAAATAATGTAAATATATAATATAAATAATATATATAATACACTACATACATAATATATACAATAATGTAAATAATATATCATCAATAATATAAGGTGATAACACTAGTAAAAAACAAACACATGATCCTCTCAATTGATGCAGAAAAAGCATTTGACAAAATACAGCATCCTTTCCTGATTAAAACTCTTCAGAGTGTAGGGATAGTGAGAACATTCCTCAATATCATAAAAACCATCTATGAAAAGCCCACAGCGAATATAATTCTCAATGGGGAAAAGCTGAGAGCTTTTCCCTTAAGATCATGAACACAACAAGGATGCCCACTCTCGCCACTTGTTCAACATACTAGAAGTCCTAGCAGCAGCAATCACACAACAAAAAGAAATAAAAGGTACTCAAAGTGGCAAAGAAGTCAAACTCTCTTCGCAGATGACATGATACTTTATGTGGAAAACCCGAAAGACTTCACCTCCAAATTACTAGAACTCATACAGCAATTCAGTAATGTGGCAGGATACAAAATCAATGCACAGAAATCAGTTGCTTTTCTACACACTAACAATGTAACTGTAGAAAGAGAAATTAGGGAATCGATTCCATTTACAATAGCACCAAAATCCGTAAGATACCTAGGAATAAACCTAACCAAAAAGGTTAAGGATCTATACTCTAGAAACTACAGAACACTTATGAAAGAAATTGAAGATGACAAAAAAAGATGGAAAAACATTCCATGCTCATGGATTGGAAGAATAAACATTGCTAAAATGTCTATGCTGCCCAGAGCAATCCATACTTTCAACGCCAACGCTATCAAAATACCATTGGCATTTTTCAAAGAGCTGGAACAAACAATTCTAAAATTTGTATGGAACCAGAAAAGACCCCAAACCGCCACGGAAATATTCAGAAAGAAAAACAAAGCTGGGGGCATCACGTTGCCTGATTTCATGCTCTATTACAAAGCTGTGATCACCAAGACAGCATGATATTGGCACAAAAACAGACACATAGATCACTGGAACAGAACAGTCTCCAGAAATGGACGCTTAACTCTATGGTCAACTACAACAAATCAGGAAAAAATATCCAATGGAATAAATGGTGCTGGGAAAATTGAACAGCCACATGCAGAAGAATGAAACTCAACCATTCTCTTACACCATACACAAAAATAACTCTAAATGGATGAAAGACCTCAATGTGAGAAAGGAATCTATCAAAATCCTAGAGGAGAACATAGGCAGTAACCTCTTCAACATCGGCCACAGCAACTTCTTTCAGGACACATCTCCAAAGGCAAGGGAAACAAAAGCAAAAATGAACTTTTGGGACCTCATCAAGATAAAAAGCTTCTGCACAGCAAAGGAAACAGTCAACAAAACCAGGAGGCAACCCATGGAATGGGAGATATTTGCAAATGACATTACAGATAAAGGGCTGGTATCCAAGATCCATAAAGAACTTCTGAAACTCAACACCCAAAAAACAAGTCAGTCAAAAAGGGGCAGAAGACATGAACAGACACTTCTCCAAAGAAGACATACGAATGGCTAACAGACACAGGAAAAGTGTTCAACATCATTAGCCATCAGGGAAATTCAAATCAAAACCACACTGAGATACCACCTTACACCAGTTAGAATGGCAAAAATTAACAAGGCAGGAAACAACAAATGTTGGAGAGGATGTAGAGAAAGGGGAACCCTCTTATACTGTTGGTGGGAATGCAAGCTGGTACAGCCACTTTGGAAAACAGTATGGTGGTTCCTCAAAAAGTTAAAAATAGAGCTACCCTATGACCCAGCAATTGCAGTACTGGGTATTTACCCCAAAGATACAGATGTAGTGAAAAGAAGGGGCACATGCACCCAAATGTTCGTAGCAGCAATGTCCACAATAGCCAAACTGAGGAAGGAGCCAAGATGCCTTTCAACAGATGAACGGATAAAGATGTGGTTCATATATACAATGGAATATTATTCAGCTATCAGGATGAATACCCATCATTTGCATCGACATGGATGGAACTGGAGGGGATTATGCTAAGTGAAATAAGTCAAGCAGAGAAAGACAATTATATGGTTTCAATCATATGTGGAACATAAGGAACAGCATGGAGGACATTAGGGGAAGGAAGGGAAAACTGAAGGGGGAGAAATCAGAGGGGGGAGATGAACCATGAGAGACTATGGACTCCGGGAAACAATCTGAGGGTTTCTCAGAGGGGAGGGGGGCGGGGGGGATGAGTTAGCCCAGTGACGGGTATTAAGGAGTGCATGTGTTGTAATGAGCACTGGGTGTTATACGCAAATGATGAATCATGGAACACTACATCAAAAACTAATGATGTACTGTATGGTGACTATCATAACATAATAATAATAAAAGAAGAACAAACTGAGGGTTGATGGAGGGAGGGGGTGAGGGTAGGCTAAATGAGTGGGTGTTAAGGAAGGCACTTGTTTTGTTGAGCACTGGGTGTTGTATGTAAGTGATGAATCATTGAATTCTACTCCTGAAACCAATATTGCACTGTATTTTAACTAACTAGAGTTTAAATAAAAATTTGAAAGATAAAAAAAAGGATATAGCGTTCATAAATGGTGCGGGCCCGGTCCACCTCTTTGTATCGCAGCTCAAAGTTGATGTAGGAGTGCCAGGCTTGCTCCTCAGGCTGCCATTCCATCCAGCGCTCAAACACCTGCCGGGCGCCAGCAATGTTTCCCAACATCTCCTCCATGTATGTGTACTTGTACCTTTAACAAAATCATCCCCAAATATCTGTCATGGTCAAAATTACTTAGGGGAAAAAAAATGATCTTTTGTACTTTGTAATTCTAACTTTGTTAAATATGAAGACTTAGAGCTTTATCTTTCCCAAAGCTTAAATCGAACACGTTTTCTTATCAAATATAGATCTGGAAAGGATGAACCACAGCAAATAAAAATACATTTTTCTTAAAAATTGCTTAGTTCAACAATAAGTTTCTTATGCATAAAAGATTGCAACCCACATTTTAGTTTTGATTACACAGCTATTACATGTAGTGATTATGACTTAATATACTACAGGACATTAAAAACTACTTATAGTATGTTTAAAGAAGTAGAATGTAAATTAAATATATGTGATTGCAACGATGTGAATAAAATAAATACACAAGACTGCAGAACTTTTCTAGCCTACAAAAAGCTGGCTTTGGTAGATCAGAAACTTACCAGAACTGGTTGACTCGAGGCAGAGTTGTTATGGCCCGGTCCCAGATATTTCGGGCATGGTTGACCTGGCGATTCTTCATTTCCATTTCTGCATATTTCAGCCAGAGTGTAATATTTCGGTAGTCTACATCTAAAGCACGCTCGTATATGGATCGAGCCCTTAAGAAGCCAGATTTGGAGAACATCAAAAGTAGTATATACAACACATGGGGCAACTATCTCAAACCATCTGCAGTGCCCTGCTATTTTATCATGTGTCCACCATGAGCCAGGTTCTGGGCATAAGAAAGTGAAAAAACATGTTTTCAGGAACCTAACAAACTCTTACAGAAAAATAGACATGCACGTAATTTCACCACAATGTGGTAAACATTATAATCAAGGTTTACACAAGGAAGCAAAAGGGAAGAAATAATGTCTGATGTGAATGGCTAAGTAAGTAGGAGGTAACTGCAGAGTTAAGAAGTTGAGGAAAACTCCAGAGGCCAAGGTGGGTAGGGAAGAGTGCTCACAGCAGGCAGAGAGAACAGCCTAGTGTAGAAGAAGGAGACACAATGTGTTCGGGGAGTGGCTGGCACATGGGCACAGCTGGGGCAGTGGGTATGCTGGGAAAATGCGGAAAGCCTGGGCAACAGGAAGGGCCAGCTTGTGACTTTTATCTTGTTGGCCACTGGTTTCCAGTGAACAGTTTTTATTTAAAAAAAAATCCCAATACAGAGAAAGCAGATAAAAGTGCGCTTCTCTGACTGTAGTGTGTGCTGGAGGCGAGACCCACCTGTAGCGTCTCCCCTGCTGCTCCCCCAGGACTCGCCTACCACAGTGCCCCTGAGGCCCGCCCCTCAAGGGAACCCTAGGGTTCCACAGAACCACCTGGAAAACTACTACCAAAGGCACACTCTTTCACTTGTGCTTTAACTTTTTCTACTACTTTTCTGTCTCTTAACTCAGGACATCATTACATTTGAAATTATAGACTCAGCAATTTTACCTTTGAATCTCCTTTAGACTCTCTTCCCATTGTGCGTATTTTATCCAGTTACTAATCACAGTCCTGTTTTTTCTTATATTATCTTCAAAAGTCTGGAGGAAGGGAAAAAGGATCAAATTGAAGGGAAAAGTAAGTAAAAATAACATCATCCTTTGTCTATTAATCCTGTTCTAAAAGTTTTGTTCAGTTTGTTCTTATTTAGGAAAAATTACATCCTGGAATCCTTGTGAGAAATAAGAAACTCACTAATGAAGGTTACAATCTCAGGTGTTTCTTTAAAGTCTTACACACAAAGAGAAAAACTTTAGACATAAAGAGTTATTAGCAGATTTGTTGATATTTTCTCTTATTGCTCATAACTAACTGATACTTTTATATATTCTATACTTGTTCCTAGTATGAAAATATTTTTTTTTGACTATTTCAGTCCTCTTGGTAATGTCTCAGAATTTCACACATCACTAATATGTAGATACAACGGGGTTAGTGGTTTAACACCTGGATGGCTAAGTCGGTTAAGTGTCTGATTCTTAATTTCGGCTCAGGTCGTGATCTCAGGATCGTTGAGAATGAGCCCCCAGTGGGGCTCCACGATATGAGTGTGGAGCCTGCTTAAGATTCTCCCTCTCCCTCTGCCACTGCCCCTCCCCCTGCTTGCACGTTCTCTCTCTCTGGAAATAATAAATAAAATCTTTAAAGAAAAAAAAACTGCCCTAGAGTGAGGATTCTAGGGTGAAGAGGTCAGATTCCCAAGTCCTCTCATGGCTCTTTCCCAAGTCTTAATTCCTACCACGGAAGGTGGTACAGAGACAGGACATAATGTGGCCTTGGTTAAGTCCTGCCCCTTCCGTATATGGATCGAGCCATCAGCTTCCAGCTGTCAGACATTCCACTTGTCTGCTATCCATCTTGGATTCAGCATCAAAAATTAGATCTCTGGTGGATTTAATTTCTTTATACTTTCAAAGACAACTCATGGCATATTTTCTAAAGTTCAGCAAAATGCAATTATCTGGTAACCAGAAGTTGCACTACTCGTGGCTAGAAACACTAACCTAATTTTATCTTATAGCCTCTCTAAGCAATGAGGAACTTTGCAAACTCTGACCTATAAACTCCTAAAAATGTTATTAATAGGCTGGAAAATGACGGACTGACCTTCCTTTTTCTTAGTTTGTAATCGTTTAGCTCTTCTTCATCTGTGATCTTCTGTTGAGGTGGAGGTGGAAGAAGCTCAAGCTCTCTTTCTTTAGCTTCTCTTAAGAGTTGCTCAGCAGTTATCTGTACCTCAGCTGGGGCTTTGTTTTTCACCTTTTAAGACAGGAGACATTTTCATTTTTAGTAGATGCTCACCACACAACGTTTAGGAAGCAAAGAAACATTTTTTAGGATGTGAACTTTCTAAGTATTATTACAAGATGCCCTCTTTGTATGACAGGTTTTCATTTCTCTACGAAACTAAAGAGAAAACAAGGTTTTCTTCCTTTGCATGGTATTTATTACAAAGCCATAGGTAAGTATGAAGAGAAAAGGGAGCAAAAATAGTAAGTGTTTCCTTTTAGATTAGTGTAACAATAGGGGCGCCTGGGTGGTTCAGTCGTTAAGTGTCTGCCTTCTGCTCAGCTCATGATCCCAGGGTCCTGGGATCGAGCACCGCATCCAGCTCCCTGCTCAATGGGAAGCCTGCCTCGGCTTCTCCCACTCCTCCTGCTTGTGTTCCCTCTCTCGCTGTCTCTCTGTCAAATAAATAAATAGAGTCTTAAAAAAAAACCAATAAACTTTGAAGCTGCTTAGGTAAAATTCTCACTAGAGGTTTTGTTTTATCAAGATGTGTGCTATCTTTTATAGTGTTGCCACTTCTATTTACAGAATTTTTCAATTATGCCCCAGGTGGACAATAATGCCTCAAACTGCATTTGTTTTTTTCCATTGCATTTCAAGTCAAAGATAATATTCAGTAAATTCCCATCATTAGACCATAAGCTTCTTGAAGTCTTAGGGCTATGCTGTCCAACATAGTGGCCATAAGCTAATGTAGTGAGCCCAAATAGAGATGGGCTCTAAGGGCAAAATATACACTGGATTTTGAAGACTTCGTATGAAAAAAAAAACAATAAACTACCTAATTAAATTTGACTACATGTTGGAACAGCAATACCTTGGATATAATGGATTAAAGAAAATATACAGTTAAAATTAATGATGACTCTTTTGACTGCTTAACATAGCTATAGGTAAACTTAAAATTATATATGTGGCTCACATTGCATTTCTGTTGCACCACTGGTGCCCAATAAGATTTTATGGAATTGAGGGGCACCTGGGTGGCTCAGTCAGTTAAGCATCTGCCTTGGGCTCAGGTCATGATCCCAGGGTCCTGGGATCAACCCTCACGTCATGCCTCCTGCTCAGTGGGGAGTCTGCTTCTCCCTTTGCCACTCCCCCTGCTTGTGCTCTCTCTCTCAAATAAATAAAACCTTTTAAAATATTTATGGAATTGAATTATAAGAAATATTAACTGTTTAATGTCATGTGTGGAATGATTTTGTTAGTAATGATGATGGCTTATATGTAATCACAGACATTGTGCTATGTGACTTATATAAATTATCTCTGGGAGTCATCTAAATGGGTATGTAAAGGACAAGCTCAAGAGAGCCACCTGGGCTGGAGAAACAGACTGGAGTGAGGGCATCTGAAAAGGTTCAGGGCAAAGCCTGTCACATATGAAATAGTAAGTATCAGCCACCGTTGGAAATATCAGATAACATCAAATTTATTGTTTAATTAAATTAACGCCACTACACAACCCCATGCCCTCTCATTCCTTCCACTCTCAGCTGGGCTAACTCCTAGTCAGCCATCAAGTGTCAGTTTAAATATCACTTCCTCAGCAAAGTTTACTCTGCAGACCCCTCACACAACCCCCATTATTCCACGGCATATTCTACGCTGCCTCACTAGCATTTGGCAAGGTTGCAATTTTTCACTGACTCGTGTGTTATGTGAACGCTGCACATCGCCGCATTAGATTGTAGTTCCCCCGCGCCTAGCGCACCGCCCAATTTCTGCCGAGTGGCCCCACTCCTCCCCCAGCAAAAACACGTCCTAGAACGAAAGCCACGCCAACAAGGGGGTTGCCCCGGGGTGACAAAAGCCTGCACCCCACCACCAGCTGACCCTTCTCCTCCTCCTTCCCCTTGGCCCACATGGGGTAGAACTGCTGCTGGCACCACACTCTCTCTCGCCGCGAGCCCCAGGGAGGCTTGGGCAAGCCCCACTCCGGGGCCTCCTCCCTCAAAGCCGCTCACGGTCTCCTACCTTAGCCACTTTGGGAATCCTCTGCTTCCCGGCCGCGGTGGAGGCCGCCATGGCTGCAGCAGCCGACCTCGCGCCAACCTGGACCCCAGAAATAGGCCCCAAGGGTTGGCCGGAACCCCACAGCTTTCCGACAACAAGCGGAATCCCGGAACAGGAAGCGGAACTAGCTGGTATGACCTTTGACTTCCCGCACGCGCCGTGACGTAGGCAACTTCGTTTCTGTGGTAACGGGGCTGCGCGTCCTCCTCTGAGCGCTGTGTCTCGGAGTTGCAGGTGAGGTGGGTAGCGCTGGCCAGCCCGACAGGGACGCGGGGACGGAGTGCAGGGCTCAAGGGCGCATCCCACGTCAGTCTCCAGAACTGGGAGGACCTGCGAGGACAGGTGGGTCGGTCGAACCGTGGCGCCTGGGAAGGGGAATAGGAACAAAGCTCCAATCCGGAGGCTCGGGGACGAGGGAGGAGAGGCAGGCCAGAAAACTACCTTTCCCAGTATGGTAAGGGGCGAGCTGCTGCGTCCCTAAGGTGGCCCGGCGCCGCGTTGTATTCTGTGTTTGTAGGCTCTGAGGTCTTCCTTTCTGGACAGTCGTGCACAAATAAAATCTAAGGCTTGTAATTAAAAATAACTAAAGGTATTTTAAAGCCAGATAATAGAAGAAAATGAAAATAAATCATCAGAGTACTAGCAAATAAGCCATACTTGTGGTCAGATAAACAGATGTTTACATTTTATGTGAATGTGCCTTAATTACGTAAATTCTCTTAGCCCCGATGTCCTTAGTTATGAGACGAAAATAATAGTATCTATTTCATCAGAGTTGAAGAGAAAATCTAGTAAAGTGCTCTGTAAATGTTAGCTGGTATAATTCTTGACCTGTCTTCAAAACAAAAAATTAATTATATGCAAGCGAATTAAAAAAAAAAACACAACTTTTTAAAGTAGTAATTTTAGGTTCACAGAAAAGTTGAATTAAGGTACAGAGAATTCCTGTTTCTCACACCTGTCATTCCCCTTTCCCCAATATTTCTCACCAGCGTAGTACATTTGTTATAGTTGATGAACCTACACTGACATCATTATCACCCAAAGTTCACAAGTTAACGTTAGGGTTCACTCTTGGTATTATACATTCTGTGGAATTTAGTGACCTGTATCTACCAACAAAGTATGGTAAAGAATAGTTTCACTATCCGAAAATTCCTTTGTGCTCCACCTATTTATTCCTCCTTCCCCCTTTGCCTCCTGCAACCACTGATTTTTAAAAATTGTCTGTTAGTTTTACCTTTTCCAGAATGTCCTATCATTGGCGTCATATACTATGTAGCTTTTTCAGGTTGGTTTCTTTCACTTGGTAATACGCATTTAAGATTCCTCCATGTCTTCATGGTGTGATAGCTCATTGGTTAAGAAATGACAGTTGCAAGTCTCTTTTGGTGTTTAGAAAAAAAAATTATAAAAATGCTGTGTGTATTTTATGTATTTGGAAAAATCACATCTATCTCTGTGAATAGTGCTTTTGAGAAAACTTGAACTGAAGTCATTTGCAACCAGTATAAAAATATTTGCCATAGCTCTTTACTACCAATTTTATTATTTAAATATTTGTAAGTTATCTCACTTTTCAAATTTTAAATAAGTTGATTGAGATTTTATATCACTGAAATAAAGTCATCTAACAAAGTAAATAAATACCTATTAAAATAAAAAGATGTTTCCCTTATGTGATGTCCCTTAAACTTGTAACTATGCATAACTGATTTAACAGAATTTAATGTTAATCATCTCTGGCCTCTTTTGAGAGATACAGACAGTTTGAATGTTTTATTTCTGGTTGCTCTCCTTCCATCTTACAAGTTTTTATTGTCTGGTAATTCGATGCTGTTTGTTTTTTAAGCAAAATTTATCATCATTACTTTTTTTTTTTTTTGCCTTCAGTGCTTCTTCAGATATACCTGCTTGTTTACTTCTCTCTCCCTCCAGCATTTTATCTTATATTTCACTCTCTTCTGATTTTAATTTTATTCTTCCTGATACACATCTTTTAGGAGTTCTTTCAACCAGATTCTTTGAGTGGTAGTTTCCTTTCATCTTTGTAGTAAATTGTCTTTTTTTAGCTTTCAGCTTTTTTTTTTTTTTAAAGATTTTATTTATTTATTTATTTATTTGAGAGAGAGAGAACACATGAGAGGAGGGAGGGTCAGAGGGAGAAGCAGACTCCCTGCTGAGCAGGGAGCCCGATGTGGGACTCGATCCCGGGACTCCAGGATCATGACCTGAGCCGGAGGCAGTCGCTTACCCAACTGAGCCACCCAGGCGCCCTAGCTTTCAGCTTTTAGTGATTGTTTAGCTAGGCATAGAATTCTAGGTTAATGGCTATTTTTTTTATTTTATTAGGTAATGTTAATCACCATACATTGCATCATTAGTTTTTGATGTAGTGTTCCATGATTCATTGTTTGTGTACAACACCCAGTGCTCCATTCAGTACGTGCCCTCTTTAATACCCATCACCAGGCTAACGTGTCCCCCCACCCCCCTTTCCTTTTTATCTTTACTTTTTAAAAGATACTATTCTGGTGATTGGAAAACTGTAGCGCATAGGTCAAATTCAGCCCATAGGCTATTTTTGTATGGCCCATAAGCTAAGAATTTCTTTTAAAATATTTTTAAACAACTGAAAAAATCCAAAGGGTATTTCAGGACACCCTAAAATTATATAAAAGTCAAATTTCCATGTCCATCCATGAGTAGAATTTTTTTTAAAGATTTTATTTATTTGAGAGAGAGAGCAAGAGCAGGTGCACAAGTGGGGGGAGGGGCTGAGGGAGAAGCAGACTCCCTGTTGAGGCTGGAGCTGGACTTGGGGCTCAATCCCAGGACCCTGAGATCATGACCTGAGCTGAAGTCAGATGCTTAACCGACTGAGCCACCAGGGGCCCCTAGAATTTTATTAGAATACAATTATGCTCATTTGTGTTCATATTGTTTCTGGCTGTTATGCTATATTAGCAGAGTTGGGGAGTTGCACAAAGAACACGTGGCTCGTGAAGCCTAAAATATTTATCATCTCGCCTTTTACAGAGGGAGTTTGCCAACCCCTGTACTACTGGCTCCTATTGTTGCTGATGAGAAACATACTCTTAGTCTAATTCTTACTCTCTCATAGGCAGTTTGTCTTTTATCTGGTTACTTTCAGGTTTTCTTTTTTTTTTGCATTTTGTAATTTCACTACTATATATTTAGGATTTATTTTTATTTTTTATTTGTATTTATTCTTATTTTCCTGCTCCTGAGGATTCAGGTCTTTCATCATTTCCAAAAAAATCATTAGCCATTATTTTCAAACATTTTATTTCCTTATTTTTGGAATTCCTATAAGACATAGATATTCTTTTTATTCTGTCTTGCATGTCTTTTAACCGCTTTCTATATTTTCTTTCTATTTTTCTGTGCTTCTTTCTAGAAAATTTCTTCATAGCTGCCTTCTAGTTCATTAATTCTTTTTAATCGTGTTTAATATGTTTTTAACCCATCCAGTTAAAGTTTAATAATCATATTTTCCATTTTTAAAGTTTTTGTTCTTTTTCTTAATTACCTGTTTTCATGACTTTTCTCTTTCTATATTTCTAATAATTGTAAACATACTTATTTCATCATCTCTTTCACAGTATATTATCTGAAGTTTTGGGGGACTTGCACACTACACAGGTAGTGTGGGTTAGGATGCATACCTACTTTGGTCTAGGATTTGGACTCCTCACAAGTAGCTTTGTTTTCTACCCAGAGCTATCAGTAGAGAAAGCTGCTTTGCCACTTCCAGGGGCTAGTAGGCTCATTTTTTTTAGTCTCCTCATTTATCAAGAGGTTCACCCCTCCAAAGTCCAGGTTGGACACATGGCTTTGGTTTCAGTTCTTGGTTTTGAATGAGGCCCCTGCTTTCCCCACAGAGGGTGCAAACTCTTGCCCCAAGGGCCTGAATCACATTTGATCATTCCCTGAGCCACTGCACACAAAGTCATTGCCACCTGGGTGGGGGAATTTCCCTTTGCTTGTTCTTTCTTTCCTTGTTTCCTTTTTCCCTAAAGCTCACCTCTTTAGTTATGCTTTCTTATTTTATTTTATTCAAAATTTATATGTATTTGTAGCATTAGCCTAAGACATCATGTTTCACAAACAGGATGTCTCTTTCCAGTTTTGCTTTTAAGTTAAAACCAAAACCAGGAATGACAACACTTATGGCTAGCTTTGACAAGAATGTAGACTACTAATGTCCATTTCTACCCAAACTAGGTAAAGGATATTTGCAAATATGAAAAATTATTGTCTCTGCTAATGCCATGTCTTTGTAGCAGGCACCGAATTTCACATTCACAGGGACTGTGGAAAATATTAGAGTATTTAATGCTCAGATGGTAGTCAGCCAGAATCTGATTGCCTCCTTTGAAATAACACTGTCATTTTATTGCTTGGTAATGCTTCTCCCCGATTTGGAGTGAGAAGGCCTTCAGGTGAGACACCCGCCAGTGGATTATCTCCCACCTGGGTCATCGTGCCCATCCAGCATATATTGGGTTCCCCCTAACATAGAAGGTACTGTCTGAAATTATATACATGCCAAGCCCAAAAGAGAGCAGATTTCAGTTGGGACCAAAGGGTTTCACACCAGAATTTCAGATGAAAAAATTCTGGGTATGGAGAGCGGTGATGATTGCACAGTGATGTGAAGGTACTTAATGCCATTGAACCATACTTAAAATGGTAAAAATGGCAAATTTTATGTTATGTATATTTTACCACAATAAAAAACGTCATGGCCTCAGCCTTATATATAAAGATTTGTTTTTCACACTGAGAAGGTATTATGCATTGAGAAGGTATAATGAAGAATGCATTGCTGTACTTAAAAATGCTTTTTAAAATTAAATGTTAAGAAAGATTGACATTAGAATTAGAACTTGGAATCAGCTCATATTGCAGCTGGGCTGTGTAAAGCCATCTTAGAAAGGAATGTCATCAGGTCATCAGAACTTGACGGCCACTTTACTAAAGGTGTGTTCGTTTATCCAAGAAGGAATGTGTTTATTGCAAAGGGGATTGATTAGGCTTGTGGTTGTCAACAACGTAGAGATGCCCAGGAAACTGTGAAGGTGCCACTTAAGCATTAGCCATCTCTGGCTTCCTTCGCTTGGCATCTCTGCAGTAGATGAAGATCCCCCAGACTTCAGGAGCTTTGAGTGACTTCTTGATGTCCAGTGTTTTGAATCCTGAGAACGTCTGTGCTCAGTATTAATAATATTAATGATGATATGGCTAATATTTACTGAGCACATGTCAAACATTGCTTTTAGTGTTTTGTACGTAACAACTCATTTATGAAACCTTTTACAGTATGCATATTATCTCTAATTTACAGATGAGAAAACCAAGGCACAGAGAGTTTAAGTAACTTCCTCAAGGTTACACAGCTACTAGGAGCTAGAAACTGGGTATCATCCTTGGTACTCTGATTCCACAGCCCGTGTTCTTGGCCATGGCCCCATGTAAACCACTTTCTGAAAGCTGGGCTTTCATAGCCATGCAGTTAGGTATTTTGTAAAGAGAGAGTGCTTGGATAGCTTTGCCATGGCAGGTGTGGAGGTTAAACCAGCTTAAACAAATGTTTGCTTATTTACATCCCCAGAGTGGGAAGAAGATTTTTTATTTTGGAGATGTTATTATAAATATCAAGGTTTTCTTCCTTTGCAGAATGTGAAGATCTGCCAGTCTGAGATCACATTTTCACAAGACAACACGAGGCTGGAGTTGAGAATACATGGGCTCCCCAGTTCACCTTAGGTACCCTGACACCAAGGCTGTGAGGCAGTGGCCACATAGCACACCTTGTTCTATCAAAGGAGAGGAAGACAGGCGTGTATTTAGCCTACATGACTTGTTTGTTAACTGTCTGGGCTGCAGAAACATCTGGACTGTCTGGCTGTTGACATTCCCATTGTAAATAAAAAATTGGCATTTTGGGCTCCTCCTTTCAGTTTCTGTGAGCTTGGACAATGTAGGGCATCGGCAAGAGCTAGGTCTGCTTGGCAAGTGCTAATGGAGGCCCGTGGAAGTGGAGGGTGGTGTGAATTCACCAAGAAGAAGGCCACCGGGTGAGGATTCTTGGCTGCCACCTGCCATCTTTCTAAGCGCCCCCTGTACCTTGCACCCTTAACATCCGAGTTTTGATGGTTAAAAGCAGTCAAACCTCAGTTAAGTGAACACCAGTGGACTGGGAGGGCAGGGGACCCTTATCCACAGAGGCAGACTGCAGGCTACTTCAACAGTGGGAGTGACAAAGGGTTGGACTAGAAGGACATGCCCAAGATTCGGTTTCTGACTAAATATGGGTGTCCTGAGGCAAGTCACTTCACTTCATGGGCCTCAGTTTGCTCATCTGATGAAGGAGGAGCTTGGTCCAGTGCTGTCTCAGATCCCTTCAGTGCTCAAGTTCTTTGATACATTGACAGTTATACAAGGTTGTATCTAAACAACAATGATAACAACAGAAAGACAAATGATATAATATTGTGTTTTGGAAGAAAACCATACACATCATATAATTCCACTTATGTGATATTCAAAATTTAGCAAAGATCATCTATGTGATAGAAGTCAGAATCATGGTTACCTTTGAAGGGGTGCCACGAGACAGCCTTCCAGGGTGCTGGAAATAGTCCATATTGTTCCTAGGATCAGTACAGTGGTGAATATTAATGTGCCTGTTTTGAATATACTGGCTAATACATAATAAAATGATTATCCCGAGGAAAAAGGAAGGAATGGAGGGACAGACAGAGGGAGGAGGGAAATAGAAAGACACACACATATATTAAGACATTAAGAGAGAAATTGAAATCAGTCTGTGGCCTGCTGTTCCTGTCAGCAGCATTCCCCAAAGTGTTTTTCTGGAACATTAGACTCTCCACTGTCATTGTCATTAGAAATTCTCCTCAGAAAGGGTGTGGGAAAGGCTGGGTTATACAAAGAAAGTAGGTATTATGGAACTTCTCAAGGACTTTAATGGGCATGGTGGCCCCTCAGGAAGGCCATCATAAACAGCATTTCCTACACTTAATTGACCATAGAACTTTTTTTTTGTCTCAAAACCTCTCTCAGGACTGTTGCTTTTCAGGGCTCCAGTTTGGGGAACTCTATTTGGAACATGGGTTGAAGCTGACAGTATTTCCCCTATAACTCTTGCCCACATGCCATGGTGGCCAATTAAATAAAAAGGATTCTGAATCAGTAAATAACTCCTTTCAGTGTTTTTCAATCCTTTTGTTAGAATATTAAAGCAGCTTTGTTGGGAACAAAGAGTACAGTTGCAGAAAATTCTAGATGGGCCAATTCTCAGAAACATCATTCTCCTAGAGAGAAACATGTGGCTAGTTTGTGATGACAGTCGTCACAGCCAACCCCCAGGGGAAAATGTGTACCACCAGCGCTTAAATACCATGTTCACTCTGACCATACGGAAATTGAATTAATGTCCGATTTTGTAAGTACTGTAACCAGACTGGCTTGTCATCTCAGATTAATGGTGGGCTGTTTTCTCTCTTTTTGGGACAGGATAAAAAATGTCAGTGCTCACTTCTCCAAGAGGAAAGGTAGAAGTGGTTCATTGCCGAAGAACAGAATCACAGGATATTTATTGTATTAAAAACCTCATTAGAAAATTTACCCAGAAGTTGTTTGGGAGGCTTAATATCATCTATCTTCTGTAAGTATATAGCTAAGTAAGCCAAAAATGTTTATCATTTTTTTTTAACTGGGAAAATTACTTTCTTCAGGGGTATAGGCAGATGTCTAGTCTCAGAACTTCTGGAATTGCTTCTTGGTGCCAGTGGCCTTCATGACTTTGAGCACAGTGAAGCACACAGTCTTGCTCAAGGGCCAGCACTTGCCCACTGTGACAGTGTCACCAGTCTGGACATCCCGTGTTCACCTGAAGCAGGGGTACAGGTGTGCAGACCTGTTTTTGTGGCATTTCTCAAAGCAGTTGTACCTTTGGATGTCATAGAGGTAGTCCCAGTGGATGACAGTGGTTCTGTGCAGCTTCATCTTGGTCACCACACCAGGGAGACTCCACTCTTGGATGGAAACATTACCAGTAAAGAGGCATTTCTTGACAATATAGGTGCCCTCTGTGGCCTCCTTGGACCTCTTGAAGCCTAGACCAATGTTTTGTAGTATGGTGGGAGCTTCTCCTTGCCAGTTTCTCCAAGTGGGACCCTCTTCTTATTTTGAAAGATGGTTGTCTGCTTTTGACGGGCATGCTTAGTCTGAATGTCCACCATCTTCCCAGCCACCTGAAGAAAGGCTGTCTATCAATTTTATCACACACGAGGAAGGGATCCCACTCCTTATCTTATGGGGCTTTATGGTGAGGAAATGGACAGCAAGAAAATCTGTCCTGCTGAGCAGGAGATCTCCAGGAACAACCAATCTCTAAGTCTCATAACCTGCAAATTGAAAGGGTTTCTCATGGGTTTTGGATTCAGACAAACTTGAGTTCAAATCTCAACTGCCCCACCCACTAGTAGAGCCACTTGGGGTAAATTAATAATATCTGCTGCTAGTTTCGAGAATTTATTTTCGGTCAGGTGCTGTGCTTTACCAGTATTGTCTTATTTACAACTCTGAGGTAGGCACTATCTTGCCCATTTTACAGATGAGAAAATGGAGGCCTGCCCAAGGTCAAGCAGTTAGTAAGTGACAAAGCCCAGATTTGCTCTTAACCATTGCTATTAAAATGGTCTTCTAAACTTCAAAATATGCATAGATTTTTTCCCCCTGGGTTTTTTTTTTGGTGGGGGCACTAGAATGTAAACATTCTATAATATATTCCTTATTATTTTTATTGAAAAAGATAAAAGATAGCTCAGTATTTTGGATTTTATAAAGCTTCATATTAAAGATAATTGAAATGTTTAAACTAAGGCCAGCCTAAGACATTAAAATTTGTAGCTTCTGATTATCGCACTGATGAATGTAATGCAAATGGACACAATTTTGTGGGAGAGCAGCTGGGCAACATGTATAAAATGCTTTAAAAATGTGTATATCAATGAAATGATTCCATTCTTTGGCATTATGGTGGATTAAACACCGTAATGATGTTCTCTGGGTGGAAACATGTCGATACATACACACACGCACACGCACACGCACAGCACAAAAGTTAAAGACTGTGCAAAGAACATTATCAAAATGAAATCAGAAACTTTTGGAAAACAGCAGGAACTAGTGTCACCTTCTCCTTGAGGATTTTTGCTGCATTCTAGAAACCTCCTGCTTCTGTTTTGACAGCTTTGCAAAGAACGAAAGATATATACTCCCTCCACCCAAGGAGGCAAGTATTAGATCCTTTTGTATAAAACTGGGTTGCTCATTGTAAGAATGAATGAGACATAATCCCACTGCTGAAGCCAGGACAGTAAGGGAAGTAGCCTTTTCAACCTCAGCATGGAATAAAGGGGGGCAAAGCCTTTAAGAATTTGTGAGCATGTCTTGATTTAAGGTCCAAGCTCATTGTGTGGCCCCAAAAAGCTTCAAAACTTCCTAAATAATGAGAGCATTTTCAGACAAAAACTATGTTTGTTTACCAGTAGACTGAATAAAGCAAATAAAGTGGGGAATTTGATTAAAAGTGGTCGCAGATTAGTATTGTGTCCAGGAAATTGGCTGAAATAACACAAATCAGGTCTGAAGGATGGAGTTTCAACTCAGACTTCAAATAATGCACCCAAATAGAGTTCTAAGTGATATGCATGCACAGTCAAAAATCACAAATATATAAGGAAACATGCACCATTAGGGAGAACCAACAATAAAAGATATAGCAGAATCAGACCCTCAAAGACTTCAGATGTTCAGTCAGAGAATAGAAAATAACTGTGCTTCCTATGTCTTATAGTGAGAAGATACATTTAAATAGACCCATAAAAATTAATAGTGAGATTTGAAAAAAAGTCAAACAGTCCAGAAATGAAAATATAGTTAAAATTAAAAAGCTCATTGGATGAATTAAACATCATAACAGACACAGTTGAAGATAGAAGTAGCAAGTAGCAAACTGGAAGACTGATACCAATGAATTATCCAGAATTCAGCACAAAGAGACAAAGGCAAAAAAGTAAGAATGGAACAGTTAACAGTTACAGTTGGGTCTAATCAGATTTCTAAAAGGAGACAATGGGAAGTAAAAGAGGCAATATTTGAAGAGATTATGGCTGACAACTTTCCAGGATTGTTGAAAAGCACCAATGCTTAGATCTGGAAAACTCAGTGAAACCCAAATAAGGATAAATGTATAGAGAAACCCACAGCTAAGCACATCATAATGAAAGACCAAAACGCCAGAGCTGGAGAGAAGATCTGAAAAATTGTCAGAGAGAAGAGACAAATTGCCTGCAAACAACTGAAGATTAGACTAATAATGATTTCTCACTAGCAACCATGATAGCCAGAGATAGTAGAATATCTTCAGTATTGGAGAGAAAATAGCACCAAACTAAAATTGTATACCCAGGGAAACGGGTTTTCAATACCTAGAGGAAAATGAATGCATTTTCAGGCCAACAAAAACTGGGTTAGAGTATCAATGAACTCTGAATAAAGGGAATTCCTCAGAATATACTCTGCAGAAAGAAGAATATCTCAGCTGGAAAGACAAGATACAAGAAAGTAAACAAATATATGCACAAATATGTTGGTAAGTAAGAAAAAAATCAAACTTACATAAAGCAGTGATGATAATGACTAATATAGACACTAAATGTAAATAGTAAGTTATAAGATATAAATAATAACTTAGGTAAAATACAGAATAAAAATAGCAGATAAATTGGCAGGTGCATGATTAGAATGAAAGTACTCTTGGGGTGCCTGGGTGGCTCAGTCGTTAAGCGTCTGCCTTCGACTCAGGTCATGATCCCAGGGTCCTGGGATCAAGCCCCACATCAGGCTCCCTCCTCAGTGGGAAGCCTGCTTCTCCCTCTCCCACTCCCCCTGCTTGTGTTCCCTCTCTCGCTATGTCTCTCTGTCAAATAAGTAAATAAAAAATCTTAAAAATAAAAAAAAAGTACTCTTAAAGTATTATTCAAGAGGAGGGTAGGATTCAAAGGTACTCCCCTTCCTTCCCAGAAACCACACATCCAAGCCTATTATGGGGTAAATTATTCATTTCTGTTGAAAAACATCAAGGAAGACCTATTCTATCAAGGAAGAGGTATACCACATACTTGGATAGGAATATTTAATAATGTAAAGAAGCCAATTCTCCTCCAATCAAAATCCTAATAGGATTATTTGTTGAAGTTGACAATATGGGTATGAGTTTATATGGGAGAGCAAAGGGCCAGAGCAATTTGAAAGAAGAAAAGTAAGGTGGGGAGATTTGCCCAACTGAAGACTCATTATAGGTATAGTAATCAGGACAGTATGGTAATGGCCAAGGAATTAGAGATCCCAGAAAGAGACCCACACACATATGAAAACCTGATGACCAAGCCAGTGGGGAAAGGATGTACCATTCAATAAATGGTGCTGGCACAATTTGTTGCCTATGTGGAGAAGAGAATAAATGTAAAGATCAACCTCCTGTCATACAAACAAAAAAAGCCAATTCTGGGTGAATTTATGATTTAAATGTGAAAAAGAGCTAACATTGTTGACAGAGTCTCCTAGATTCCAAATTCATTTATCCACCTTCCTGATGGATGTCACCCCTTGGATACCTAGTAGGTACTTTACACCCAGCACAATCATCACCTGCCTCCAAACTACTCTGTCCATACTTTCCCCATCTCGGTAACTCCAGCAGCTCCAAACTTTCACTTGCTTGGACCAAAAACCTTGGTGTCACCTTCACTCTTGCTCTTACCTCCCACACCAGCAAAGCTGTCAGCTCTACCTTCAGAATATATCCAGAACCTGG